AAAAAAAAAAAAAAAAGAAAGAAAGAACAAGGCAGGCTAGCCACAGTGGCTCACGCCTGTAATCGTAGCACTCTGAAAGGCCAAAGTGGTAGACTGCTTGAGTTTAGGAGTTTGAAACCAGCCTGAATAAGAGTGAGACTCCGTCTATGCTACAAATAGAAAAATTAGCTGGGTGTGGTGGTGGGCACCTGTAGTTTCAGCTACTCAGGAGGCTGAGACAAGAGGACCACTTGAGCCCAGGAGTTTGAGGTTGCTGTGAGCTCTAACACCACGGCAATCTATCCAGGGTGACTGAGTAAGATTGCCTCAAAAAACAAAAAAAGAATGAGGCAGGTCTACATTTCCTGCCATGAAAGATATTCCAAATACATGAGATTTTTTTAAAAAGCTAAATGTAAAAGAATATCATGGTATGATCCTCTAGTTTTTATAAAATGAACTTCATGTGTACATGTATTTGTGTCATAGATATGCATGTATGTTTGTTTATACTCTTGTATGTCCAAAGAAAAAGGACTCAAATGACACATAAACTCTTTTTTTTTTCTTTTAGAGACAGAGTTACAGTTTGTTGCCCTCGGTAGAGTGCTGTGGAGTCACAGATCACAGCAACCTCCAGCTCTTAGGCGATTAGGTGATTCTCTTGTTTCAGCCTCTCAAGTAGCTGGGACTACAGGCACCCACTACAACGCCCGATTTGGCTGGGGCCAGGTTTGAACCTGCCACCCTCAGTATATGAAGCCAGCACCCTACTCACTGAGCCACAGGCGCCGCCTGACACATAAACTCTTAACAGTGGTTGTCTCCAGACAAAAATGATCCCAGGGACTGTGAAAGACAACTTTTACTTTTCTCTTTCTATACTTCTGTATTATCTGAATTTTTTTATAGCAAGATGTGGAAAGCCCCTGGTGATGGACTGTAGCTTGGCTCTACCCAGTGGCCTGTGAGCAAACAAGGTCTGAGCAAAAGATTTCTGAGCCCTTGTATGTTTCCAACAGCTCTTCTCTTACTCTCTGTGCTCAGTCATGAAAACTGTGTCCCAAACAGGGGTAACTCCTTCAGTCTCACTGCTGGAATGAGAGAACATATAAACTAAGAGTGGAGCCACTGCTGACCCACAGGATGCATGTAATACAACTGAGGAACAAACCTCTGTTTTCACAAGCTACTAAGATTTTGGGGTCATTTGTTATCACAGGAAAAATACATAAAAATCCATATAAAGAAAACTTTAAGGGCAGTGCCTGTGGCTCAGTGGATAGGGCGCTGACCCCATATACCGAAAGTGGTGGGTTCAAACCTGGCCCCGGCCAAACTGCAATAAAAAAATAGCTGGGCGTTGTGGCAGGTACCTATAGTCCCAGCTACTCAGGAGGCTGAGGCAAGCCCAGGAGTTGGAGGTTGCAGTGAGCTGTGTGACACCACAGCACTCTACTGAGGGCAATAAAGTGAGACTCTCTCTCTACAAAAAAAAAAAAAGAAAGAAAGAAAGAAAAAAGAAAACTTTAAAATGGTACCAAGACACACCGGGGGAAGACTTTAGTAAATGGAAAAGCAGTATCAAATTACTGAACAGAAACACTCAATATCACAAAGATGCCAATTATCCCTAAATTAGTCTATATATGTAATCATTCCCAATGAAAATATGTGAATACACATATGGGTATGCTCCTAAATTTTCTTTGGAAAAAAATAATAAAACAAAAGTTAAGAAAATAATGATACAGCAGAGTACTGAAGGAGGTCTGGCCTTACCAGATACTAAAACATATGATAACACTAAAATAATTTTAAATGATGAGATACAACCCAGTAAAAGACAAATCAGTGGAAGATACTACAAAGTACAGCTAAAGACCCAACATCGGCAGAAATTCAGCACATGATAAAACAATTTTCAAAATAAAGGAGAAAAAATGGCTTATTTAATAAATGATATTCTACACAAATGATGAGCACTACAGCACAGTTTGCAACAATTAAAGGGCCAAGCTAATGCCCAATATTAGAAGACAAGTTAAATAAATTATAATTCATCTACTTACAGGCAATTAAAGCAACTCTTAGAAAGAACAAGGCAGGCTAGCCACAGTGATACTAAATGATATTGAAACGACTGAATAGCAATATGAATAGCTGGAGCCTTACTGACACCTTGCACTAATGTGAATCCCAGATGAATCAATATTTAAGGATTAAAAAAATGAAATTATGAAAATACTAAGAAAAACTATAGGAGAATCTTTTTATAAAGTGAAGAGAGGCCTTTTACAAAGTGGTATAAAGAAAGGCCTTTCAAGTAAAAAACTATAATATACTTTTAAGCATATATATATATACACATTTTTTTTTTCCTTTTTGCAGCTTTTGGCCAGGGCTGGGTTTGAACCCACCACCTCCAGCATATGGGGCCAACGCCCTAACCCTTTGAGTTACAGGCACCGCCCTTAAGTATTTTATTTTTATAAAAATAAAAATTTTCTGCCAGGATAAGAACATACATAAGTCAAAAAACAACAACAAAGTGAAAGAAATATTTACAACTAATACTACAGATTAACTTCCTTAATATATGGCTTCCCAAGAAGAAAAAGACCAACCACCTAATTTTAAAAATGAGCAAAGGTTATAAAAATATCTCTTATAATTATTTTTTTTTTTTGAGACAATCTCACTATGTCACCCTCAGTAGACTGCCAT